TCACGCTGCTGAAACAAATCGCGGTGCGGTATCGTACCGTCGCGATCGGTGTAGATTACACTCGCGCGCTTCATACCGATGAGAAAAATCGCGCTCGCTTCCCACAGTGCGTGCCTCATTACGTATGAATCTGATTAACCGTCACGCTGAATCCGCACGGGCGGATAACGGATTTGAAAGGGAAAATCCGACGAGGGGCTAGCTGCCCGTACCCGCTTTTCGACCGTGTCGACGAGAATATGAATCGCGCCGCGTGAAACGAGGAATGCGAGGAGCGATTCCCTTTTTTTTTTGCGTACGATTCGAGCCGCTTCTAATGGATTTCGATGAAACGACAGACTGCTTCCTCATGAGACGCCCACTATGGTCCCGAGACACATTTTTACCGAAAGCAAAAGTGCCCAAAAGGAAATTATACGAATGAAAAGGGGAATAGTTTGACACCACTGGCAACAGGAAAACTTGCTTTATTTCCACAACGTTTCGGCCATGGGTTTTGGCCCTTCTCAATTAGTGAATTTGAATTAGTTCGATTGCACTTGAAAAAGGCCAAAACTTGGGACGTTGTGCGAATAAAGCAAGTTTTCCTGTTGCCAGTGGTGTCGAGTTATTCACCTTTTCCTTTTAGTACTAGCTGGCGGTAGAACATCTTACATTTGATTAAAATGATACGAGACTGAGAAATTTTCTACACAAGGCAAAATTTGACGAAGAACTTTCCAAAAGCTGTATCGAAAAATGTATCGAGATGATAACGTTAAGTGGATTATTCTGTACATAAATCGCGATACAAGATAATGAATGGAGATCTAAAGAAGTATAATGCGAGTAGACCTTGAATTACAGGATTAAATATCAAGTACGCGTAATGTAAGCGTTGCAGGCAGCAACCTTGCTGCCGCGTCGAGCAGATGTTTAGGAATGTAAAACGTTCATGGATACGTACACGACCAGCGCATGATTCAAGCATCCAGAAAAATTCTGCCGCGCGTCGTGCTGCAGAAGGAAAACCGGATCCCAGAATCGTTGCCGATCGGATTTAGAATAATCGGTTGCGTAAAGCGTCACCACGTCGACGGGATCGACGTGCCGTGGGCGCACGATTAACGTTAACAAATCTCAATGTTATTAACCGATTTCGTTCCGCCCAATTTCGCTGTAAGAGAACACGAGGATGCAACGTAACGCATCGCACGGAGCGTAATTCGAAAATCGTTGACGATCGAGCGGCAGATTAATCTATCGCGAGCATTCCGCTGGCGAGCGAATGCACATGCACGCGAGAGAGCGATGAAAGTCGCGCGGCGGCGGGCACGCTCGATTTGCCAAGGAGCAACGTCATTGACGAGCAAGAAAGAAAAACCTTTCGTCAACTCCCGCGGGCAAAAACCCATCGCCAACTTCGGCCCCCGACCGATCTTGGGGACATTTCCTATGGAATGCGCGCGACCCAGGTAGATCTAGGTACCTGCCGCAGGCGGCAGGTAGCTGGCTTCAACCTTAGCAACGGGACGAAAGATAAGGCGACACGAGGGCGTGGTGCGTATTTGAACATCTCTCGTCTCTTATACCGGGCGTTGCGCTTCTACCGGATTATTATATTCTAATGACGCGAAGGAACGCAGACGGGAATAATGCGCCGCTGATTGCGTCTCGTAATTAGATGCGCAATTTCGCGCCTTGCGTCCGCATACATTAAGATTTCATTCTCCGAATCATCCAAGCGAATTACATAAATCTACTCTCTCTGTAAACGACGCGAAAAAGATATTGTCTCAAAGAATATGCAAGCTTATTGGAATAATTATTGTGGAAATTTCTTTTAAATTTATATCTCTTTTTGTTTCTAGAAAAAAATTAATTATACTTACAATTAGAGTGACATTCACAGTCGAATTTTATACTTAGGATTGTAAAGGTAGACAATCTTAAAATTGCATTCCAACTAACGAGACAATCACGTAGCATCTCGTAAGTTTAAATACCATAGAATAGCCATTTAAATCTAACAATGAGCTGCGTTTCAGCATCGAGTTGTTTCTTTCCGGGCGACGTAGAGTTTTTCTCGAGATCGAAGATTCTGGGACACGCTGTATAGCTGTCACGCTGACCTCCCTGCATTTTCACTTGTCCGTTCGTTTACCTGCGCATTTAATGCGATTGGCAGAGTACGCTAGCCAACACGGCTGCGGTCATTGTGCAGATAAGTAGGGATGACACGTCGATAGAATCCCCTCATACCTTATTCCCGATACCCCCTTTCACATTATGCCAATCTATTTTAGAATTTCCGAAAGCGTACGTAAGAGTGGAAGCAGGATCGCTTCCACTCTTACGAGGTTTTCTCTCGCAAGCGTGAAAATTTCATAATTTGCATGTCGTACGCGAAACAAATGGACACGTAGGTACATTTTTTATCTTCGATCAAGCATTTCTTATTCAGCTTAATGAATACTGCCGGCAATCTCTTTTTAACATCGAAAACACTTCGATAGCGAAAAGAAGCGGCGTTCAAAGTGTTAACAAGGTAAAAGCGCAGTAATTATTGCGGCGTCGTTGGAAAGTCGCGAGATGTAGAATGCATATTCCACACCTGTCGTAGATTGGAAACATTCCGCCTATGACACCGATATCACACTTTCATCCTTTCGTCTTGTCTTTTTGCCTGTTTTTATAAGATTGCACTTGGCATTAACACGACGTGCTGTTCTGTTCAGGTCTACTTATGCCTTCGCTAAAGCGCAGCAGCCCTATTGCTCTTCACAAGTTAATTGCCACTTTTTACTTCGCGACACTCGGTTTGTAAATTTGTCACATCTAAAAATATTCGCGTGATGTAAAAGCGAATGTCTGCTTAAAGACGCGTTAAAACGAGTAGGCGCCCATTTAAACTCGGACTTACGTAATGAATTCCACGCCGGAAAAGAATAGACCAGACCACCATAATTAAATATATATGCTCTCTTTGGGATTTCCTGCCTTCTTGGGGCAAAGATATGTCTACATGTTTTTAACTACTCTATAAAAAAGAAGGGCGGATAAAACCGGCGAGCGATAATTGCCGTGCAATCCAACATGCGAATACGCGTCCAGTACTAGTGTGCGTCAGATTATGCGGTCACTTCCCGTGAAATTACAGTCGCGAGTCCACTCTGACACGCGCAAACGTACCACGGACTCGTATTTTCGCCGCGCACTTAAACGTAGTTGTCCGATCCTCACTTTATCTCGTTTTCAATGATAATTTTCTTGTGTTAAGGTGCTTTTTGTACTTGACTGCAAACGCGTCACTAAACAGAGTGTGCGGAAAAGACCCAACTTTGAACTGCATATTAAGAATACGATTAAGAAATGTATCACAAATGAAGGTGTATTGATGGAGAAGGTGTACTTGTCACGACGTCGCCGAAGATGGCTCGAATTTGAGCCGAGACACGTTCGATTATTATATGCTTATATTAATGAAACATTGTTGTTTGACACGCATCAAGATTCGCGTCGCACTCTCAATGCCCCTTTTCATCTCCGGATTAATTGGAGGAGACACGATACTCTCAATAATGGCAGGGCAAATAGCGGAAATAACGGAAAAAGAATAGGAACGCCGGAAAATAGCTCGTTCACGCAACGCTACGCACGCACATATACATTGCGACATAGATGCGTGGACGTTGTTGCACAAACCGCACCGTTTCTCGGACGCTTCGGTTTACCGCAAAGACGTAACAGATTTACACGGAGGAATTTTACAACCACCGATCTCAACACCTGTTCTCGGTGGAGACACAACACGCCCTGCGTTTTGAGAACGACGCTCGAATCCAGTCCAGAAGAAATGCTCTCGTGTCGTTGAGGAAACGCGTCTCTCCCTCTCTCTTTCTCATCGCAGCAGTTCGCAATGTCTTGAGACCGGATAAACGTCGTTCACTACCGACACCGATACTCGATTCTTCCTCGCACATACCTTGTGTTTACGTCGATGCAGTCTCGGACGACGTGTACCGGCGCCGAAGAGGAAGTCATCCTTCAGCAAGTGCGCGTCGCGCGTCCTGCTCGAGTTTCTCGCCTTCGACGTGGTTCGCCTCCTCTTGTTCACAACGTGCTTCTTCTTTTTACCTCTGAAGATCTTGCGGAATATCTTCATACCGACTTTATTCGAATGCAACGCGGACGATGAAACGACAATCACCATCCAGGCCAATTATCCACACATTAAAATAACAACACACGTTACTGATTGCGTAAGGTTCCAAGGTTCCTGCGTGGATTCGCGATCCAGCACGATTGACGAGTTCACGTGGAGAACAGCGCCCGAGTGCCGCGGGTGCTCGATGCACTCGAACGATGCGCGACAAATCACTAAACCGCCGCCGCCGCTGCGTTTACGCGAAAGCCCATAGCATTACTCATCGCGATGTGCCATGTGCGACGGGGGCGGTTCATGGCTTATCGTCGACACGCAGCATTCCGGGCAGATCGACAACGTGTCCGGAATCCCCCGTGATTTCCTCCGCGACCCGGTCGCACGACGTTCGATCAATCGATCACGCGAAGCCCCGCACGTTCGTCGCGCATCCGTAACGCGGAAAGAGTTCGCCCCGCGTCAACACTATCCCGGCTTTAGTTTGCCGGCTGGCAAATTGAGTTTCACGGCCGGACAATCTCTGCCTCTTCGTTTCAACGTGTAACTCTGTTCCCACGCGATGTTTCGCAGCAGATATTATATCAGTGATTTCTTATTATCAGAAGACACGCAAAAGTTGCGTTCCCTGTATATTTCCCATAAAACGCTCATGATATTGCATTTATCTGAAAATCAGATTCGCATTCTTCGATTATTATCGAATGTACAACGTTCTGAAAGAGTCATCTCCTAGTTTGCGTATGTATATATAGTTCTTTTTCATTTTTTGAAAATTATATTTTTATAGGTAGCTAATCAAAAATGTTCTCCTCCCTCTCTCTCTCCTTTTATTTCTCTCTTTTATAGCAAAAGCTACGAAGGCCTTTTACGCAAGGTAAAAGATTGTGTCTACCATGATTCTTGATTAATGAGGTCATCACACTTCCCACCGCATTGATATCGGTTACACCGGATGCACTGTTGGAGAACGTATTGAGCTCTGCATACGCGAGGAATGAAGACAAAGCACTTCCTCCGGAACAGAGACTACCGAAAAATGTCAACTTCGTGCCCGATTCGATTTCAGCGCTTTGACGCTCTCCTTCACCGCTCATCTTCAAAAGATACGGTTCGCCACTTTAGATATGCGCAGCTTTCCGGATTCATTCTTGGCCTCACATTATCACGGTTGAAAAAGTAAATTGTTTGATTAGTGATAAAATTGGACTGATAATGCAGTCAAATTATATGTTAGCGACATCGAAAATTCATATTTTGGCAACAAACGTTAGATAATTAGTGAAATGGAATGGTAGTATTATCGTCGAAAGGGGAGGACTTGAAGAGACAACCTCGCAGATTAACATCCATATTGACATGTGCATCTTTCCTGCTACTTCAGTATTGCAATCTAACGAGGACACGACTATCGTGAACTGTATCATTTTAATCATTCTGCACATAGCCTACTCTACATTTCTTGATAACGTTAAGATCTAATAATCAATCGCACGATTGATGTTTGTAAAATTTCATACGATATGCCTAATCTTGCACCTTATCTTATGGCTTAAAACATTTCTTAAAAGAATTTGCGAGATAAATTTGTTGTAATTTTTTTCTGATTTTTTTAATGATAGCTGTACAGCGATGGACAAAATGGTTGCGACATTTTCCTTAATAAGTTTAGGAACACGCATGTAGAGTCAGGTTTATGTTTCAAAACATTTTCTCTCGGAAAATGGAAAATTTTACTCGAGAAATAGATCGGAAACGCTTGAAATGGTTTTGGAATGACCATCGAGTAAAATATTCCTCGGAGAAGATTCTACAACGTAACCGTGAATCTAAATTCACGTTCCTAAAAATCATTAAAAAAAAACAGTGTCGCAACCATTTGATATTCTATTATTTCTCAATATATTATTTCATATATATTTTTTTACGATTATCTCTCAAGATACTGCATTCGGAAACATCATCTGAATGCCTCAGTGTATCATTTTAATGCGATCTATATCATGTATTACGAGACTTATTTTTTACGTTTCTTTCACCGCGAAAAAAGCTTATTTTAAATTTTAAGAAAAAAATAGTACAAGTACACTTTTCTGTCAAAAATATTATCGAATAATAAACTCGGTTTAAATAATCGCATTTATGTTAAAGAAGATCGTGAACTTGAAACGATAGTAAACTTTGCGATGTATTGCAATGATACGCATATTTATACTATCGTTCTTTTTGCATCATTCAACCTTTGCTCTTGTACGTTAATGATAAGCTTAATAAATTCTGTGTTACGGTGGTTTCAGACAGTTACAACTGGATATGTGTGTAAGCAACGAGGTACGTTAACTTAAAGATAAGACGGGATATGTTTGTGCAGTCTTCACAATTTAACTCGCGACAATGTACGCTCGAGACGTACAAAAAAATGCGTATACTTTTATAACATGCATTCACGTCAGGAGTGACGAGAAAAACGAATGTGTAACGTTATAATTAAATTTTACACATGTAAACTCATGGTTTTGCTCCCATTGTTCTTTTTTTATCATGCATTACCATCTCGCAGAATTGAAATGAATTAAAAACGTTTTAATGGCTTTGCAAAGGAAAACTCGCGAAATAAGAGTAAATGTGTATGTATAATAATAAGAATAAATTCCGTCGATCATTAAGTGTGTAAAGTTTCAATATTGATGCCGAGCTTGTAATTTCTCAGAAATACTGGGACACCGCACATGGGAGACAGGATTGATGGACAAAGGATAATTGAATAGCGATTTCTATTTTTAACACGTGAGATGTAAATACAGTATTGCATAATTTGCATACGCCAGTCTGTACGTCAATGGCGACAAATATGGACCGTCTATAATGTAATGAGATAATGATGCGATATCTCATCGCCGACTACGCCCATCAGAAGTATATATTGACACATCGTTATTACATAGATTGGTACATACAGAGACTTATTCTTTATGCTTACTTTGTGAATTTTCCTTTGCATTAAGCACTTTTATCGGCAACTTTGCGAAACGGCAATAAGCGAATGATAAAAACGAATTGGAAAAGTATACGCACGATAAAACTTCATTATGAAGTTAATGTGAATGAAATAAAAATTATTTCAATAAATTTGGTTAGGCACACTATCTTATTGTAGGAATAAACGACAAGTATTTATTGTTCAGCGTAGATTATCTTCTTATAAATAACACTCTGTGTGCTCTTTTTCTACTCGTACTCGATAAAGTCTAAAAAGAGACAATATCGAATATAAATATATGAATAATGTATAATGTTAAAGTTAGCATTATGTTAGCATTAAAGCACGAATATTGCTGTACTTTCAGTTAAGACAAAACAGAATATGTATTTTAAGAACATGATCAATACACTCGCAAGATAGTGTACATCTTCGTCTTCTTTAGCAAAGCTTTGTCTTGCGAAAGCGGACTGTCACGGTTCCTAATGTCTGCGTCTTAATTCCATATTTAGCTTTCGGCTTATTACTTCGTGTAAGTAATACGTGTTCGTCTGTCGCTAAACGCGAAAAATAACAAACACATATCGCATACGTACGCTGCTATTTACGAATATAAAGATAAAAATTCTACGAACCAAATATAGAACAGCAGACATAAAAATTTAGTACAATTCGAAAAATGTGAAACAGTTCCTCTCGTAAACTCTTCAAGTTACGAATACTCTAACGAAGCGAAAACTCGAAAGAAACAAAAGAGCTCTTTAAACTCTCGAACAGTGACTTTCTAGACAAGCGGGATTTGTTTTTCACTCACATGTTTCTCTTTGACCTCTCGCGGGTAAGGAATGTCTCCAATTTCACTTCTATCCGCAAACAGTTCCTAATTCAAAACAAGTTAAACGGAAATATATTCCTAACTTTATATATATTTGATAGCATTAAAATGCTACTAAATTATCTTGTTATTATATTTATTACGTGATTATTTTAAAACCAAAGTTTCGTATATAGAAATTTTATTCTTTGTTTACGATCAACTTTTTTTATTAGTAATCACGCTCTTTCCGATTACCAACTTGAAGATGACCTATATGTATATATTTATAAAAAGTAAATACTTTCTGAATAAAAAATTATAAAGATATGTGCAATCTCAAAATAAAAAAAAATTTAATTATTACTGCGAAACTGAACAACGCAGCCATAAAATTCTTACAAAGATAACTGATACTTAAGATAAATATGTTTGCTAGGATAAATACATTGAAGTACCGTATACACGAAGATTAACATTATAGATTCACTTCAGAGGGCATTCTCCGCGACTGATCTGACGATTTTGCATTCTTAAGCCCTGACCATAGTATAACTGGTAGGTCCACTCTCTGTCGGGCCTTTAATATTTTCGGTCCCGATCACGTGGTATTCCGCCAGGATTTTGGTCAGAATCCAGCGATGTGTGTATGCGCGCGCGTGTACATATCAAAGCTACACTACCAAATATACGTTTCTCTCATTGGTCTAACCAAAACAATGTCGGATGTGCAGAAAGGATCGACGCAAAACAAAACGACGGAGTGGACTTATTAGTTATACTATGTCCTCACTAGCTCAAGTCATAGTATCAGTGGGCATCTTGCGCGCGGCATCCCTAAATTGTGAACGACACGCGGGTGGTATCGAGCGCTTTTCTGGGGGCGATACAGCGATAAGCGTTCGTTCAAGATATAAATCGACGCGATATAACACGCATCGGTATAACGAGCGGGCCAAAGAACGTGCAACGCGGCGTGACGCGGTGCGGAACGCGTCCTCTTGCTTTTCATTTACTTCGAAATAGTAGTTTATCAATACGTGCGCGGTAAATACTAAGCCCGTGTGTCCTTCGCGCGTATTCTCTTAGTCTTTCAAATCAATCCCGTTCCACAATGACGATGGGCACCACAACGACGGCATGCATTAATGACGCTACGTCGAAACCTTTTCTTGTTACCTTGCGGGAGAAAGAAAAGCAACACCAGGTGATACAAATGTCGAATAATCCCGACCCTCTCAGCAAAGGGAAAAAGCGCTTTCAGTTCCTAGTCACTTTGTGTGGTGAGTAAAAGAAGACGAATATTTACACGGAATCTATATAGAACATGCTTAACTTTTGAATATTGGCATGTGTTTCTAACGTATCGGATAATATATTCTTGGCATTTCAACCATTATCAAGACCGCGTTTACAAAATGTTCTAGCATAGGTCTGACCACCCTGTCTTATTTCTTAAATTAAGAGAGATGAACTGTGACAAGTAAAGCTCAAGTTAAATAGCGTGAATTATGAACATGAACTCTATTCTGAGCATAATGATGATAAAGCTGTCCGTGTTGAGGAATGGAAAGGTAACTCTGCCTTTTTATAAGTAATATGGATTATATTCCATTATACTCGCAATAAAGTTCATTTTTAACAGTCAAATTAAGGCTTTATTAAAAGAGATTAATCACGAGGGAAAAAAATCAATCCAACACTCGATATCCTTCTTCAAATAAAAATTACACGCAAGATCGAACAATTATTAGTGCTTTATCTTGTTAACATAAATTCTCATTAACTTTTTATCACGGAATATATACGGAACTCAATTTTGTTGGAGATAACACCAATTTATGATAAGATTCACGTTATAACTTTGAATTATCATCAAGTTTGTCCAATACTTTAACTTCCAAACTGAACATCACTTGATTTCATTTTTATTATACGGGGTGTACCTAAACTGGCGATAAATATTTTAATGACAAGTACTTTGTAACATTTTGAGACGAAAATTCTAATACGAAAAAGTCGAGGCTATAATAGTTTTCAAATGGGAACAGTTTAAACATCTCGAATAGCAAAGCTAGAATTTTGCGCGCTCAGGGATGACAAAATGGCCAGTGATTAAGGTGCTTTCTTGAACCACA